TTATTTATACATTTTTATTATTCATACAATAATATAAAACCCATACCCATAACCCTATAAATTTTTACCACATTTCGCAATAGTCCTGCATCAACCGGGGATTGTCCTTGGGTGCACTTTCATAGTGCATACAGAGATAATTGCCGGCTGATGTCCCATCTCACTTATATTAAAGTTGTTCAAAGGGCCTCTGCGAGTTGGCTTCGGCCCCTCGTACGCCTTCCAAAAGTCCGGGACCCTGTGGTCCCGTGAGTGGAAAAGAACTTGCTAATAATATACAGAAAGATCTGATTTAATCTTGCGCAAGTCCACCCGCTGCTCGGCTCCGTTTGATCTTAGCGTAATGTTTTATAGCCCAAGTACTCAGGAACATTGTAGCTATCTATTAGTGAAAGAATTTTGGCAATCTAACCAGCGGTTCAAAAAGATTACCCCTACATACAAACTTACAAATTTTACTTCTATATAATATTTATAATTTAGTATAGATAAAGATATGTATAAAATAAAGATCAAGCACAAGATGAAACTCCATTATGTTGATTAAAAACACGACATCGCATTGTTCGACCTGAAAACTGAAGAGAACACCTGCTAGAGCAGAAGACACTACATTTAACTAGTTCTAGTAATTTCTATATTATAAAGAGAATTTGTTTGTTTGTATTAACGCGCTTATCTCAGAAAGTACTGATTCGAATCGAAAAATATATATTTTTTTTAATATATTATTTATCGAGGAAGGCTCTAAGCTATATAACATCACGCTATGATCTGTAGGAGTCGAGCAGCGGGTGAAACCGCGCGAGAGTAGCTAGTTAATAATCACCATAAGAAAACCGGCGTGAAGCAATACTTACGTTGTGTTTCGACGTGTGAGTGAGATTACCGGAGGCCCAATCCTCCCCCCATCCTCAATTCTAAATCTTCCTCAAATCCCCTAGTCATAGTTACCCACAAGAGGCCTAACATTTGGTTACAAATATAACTCGTTAATATATATACATGTATATATCTTAAAACGTTGCCCGACACTAGGATGATCCTCTGTAGTGAGTGCGTTTACAAAGATACATACACATCACACCCAGACTCGGAACAACAATCTGTGGATCACACAAAGAGTTGTTCCGTGCTTGAATCGAACCCGCGACACGTTGCGCGCCAGCCAGTTGCCCAGCCACCGCGCCAACCAGGTTCGATTCCGATTGATCCACAAATTGTTGTTCCGGGTCTCGGTCTTATGTATGTTTGTAAACGCACCCACGGTACAGAAGCGAACCCTAGAGTGGGGCAACGCTAAAAAAAACCAGAGAATAGTATTTCTCTCCAATGTATGACGGGACCCTAAAATCCAGGAATAGAGTAGAGTTTAAGAATCACGTCTCACAATCCAATTCCAATTGGATGGGCTTTTAAGGACCAAGGTCTGTGTCCTGTAAGGGTCACAGACATCGTAAAGGTTCAGGCAATTCTAAGCGTGGGCTGTTCCACACACAAAAATAAACTTAGCACTAAGAATTTTGTCAATGGAATGCTATTAGAACGCTGTTGTGACAATATTTGTTGGTAAATTATTATTTGTAACTACAAAAATGTCTTTAAATCGAAATTCGTTATTATATAAGAGTGGGAGAGTCAAGTATCGGCACGAATGGGTCGGCTTGACCACGGCCTTATAGAAAACCGGCGTGAAACAACCACAACGTTGTGTTTCGCCGTGTGAGTGAGGTTACCGGAACCCATTCCGCCCAATCCCTTACCCTCTCCCCATCCGTTTCCAATCCTTAAATATCAGAAACCCTTATCCCCAAAAGGCCGGCAACGCACTCGTAATTGCTTAACATCAGGTAACATCTGCTCGTTAGCCGACCTATACCATAAAAAACATCGTTTTAGTTGCTTAGCCGTCATTTAGAGACGCAGCCTATCGTCAGACATTCGTTGTACATTACAGCAGTGGATTACATCATCATTAGCGCAAATATAAACATTATGCGCAATGTACTACGAATTGCGAGATGTGTTGCACAAGTTACGCGTCTCCGTAAACTAAGACTATTCGATTTTTTTTCATTTTTTCTTAAAAAATTGTTCGCATAGTTACTGTAGGCAGAAATGTACATTCCTGCTTGCCTCGTAAAGCCGACTGACCATAAAAACAGCTGTCAAGTCACAAGTTTGATCTTCAAAACAAAAAAAAAACTGTACAGCAACAAACAAACAAAAACGCCTGTACCACTAATCCCTCTAATCTCTTCAATTTTAAGTGCGTTTTTTATATGACAGGTCGCAGACAGATTACCTTATAGTAAGACTAAGTATCCCCGAAAGACCACAAGAGTTATAAATGCGATGCTGGGTTTTTGGAGATAAGGGTTTCGGAGATTTTTGGGATTGCGGGGGGATAGGGGGAAGGGAAGGGATTATGATTACAATTATGAAACATGATTACGATTGCTGTGGTTGCTACGTGCCGTCTTCAACAATATCACTCAACCAATCATATACTCAATTTACTACAGAAAATTTAACCACTACATTTAATTCAATGTATAAAATCCTAGCTACCATATAAAGGCACTAAGACACAAGATTATCGATTTGAGATAAAATGTTTGTGTTGTACGAGTAAGTACCTGTGTATTGTATATGTAAATGAGTTCCATTAGTACCTCCTCGTTATTGAAGTTTTGCTAAAATTTATTCGAGAAGTTTCCATTCGGGAGCAAAATATATTCGTTTTCCCCGTACCAATGTACGTAATGTCGTCTGTCTTGTACTACGAGTATACGAAGACCAGCAAAAGTGTTAAGTAAATTTTGAGTAAAAATTCAAGCTCAGTTGATCTGGTAGTTAGGCAACTGTCTGCCGTGCAACGTGTCTCGGGTTAGATTTCTACATGTAACAACTCTTTTTGTGAATATAAATTGTTGTTTCGAGGTTGAGTATGATGTGATATCTGTGATTTCGTATATTTGTAAAAGCACCTACGACACCGCATAGTAAACCTAGTGTAGTCAACAAAAGAAAAAAATCTAAACCGTGTCTGTTCTATACTGTCAGATAATTTGTTCCATTACTTGCAGGATCAAGTCAACTGTCATTACAATTGATTTGTTTTTCGAGAGGAAAAGATAAGGCCCAATAGGGCTGATGTTTGCTAAGGTTGCGGGTCAAGCACATTAACATATCGCGGCCTCAGTAAATAGGACAAAGAAAGTAGTGGTTTTAGTCAGTAAGAGTCTGACCTTCATTACACTTCATTCAGGATTGAAGAAGTGATTCTTCGACATACATTCAAAGTCCAAAATACTGACTAAAACCACACTGATCGTTTCTGATTTGCTGAGCCAGGCTGTGTTATGACATTGCACTTAAAAAACGAACCCCGGACTCTCTGCAAATTAAGACACACTAATAAATATACAAACAACTTTCTCTATATTTAAAACCAGTAGAACTTTTCCGTGTTAATTTACGTGAGTAAGATAATATCTATACTGATATTTTAATGCGAAAGTAACTCTGTCTGTCTGTCTTTTCTTCACGCCTAAACTACTGAACCGATTTCTGTGAAATTTCGTAGAGATATAGTTTGGAACTCGAGAAAGGACATAGGATAGTTCTTATACCAAAAATCTGCAGGAAGTCACTATTCAACGCGAACGGAGTCGCGAGCAAAAGCTAGTTTTCAATAAATTTTGTACATCTCATGACATACAAAAACTTTGTCTATCGATAAACATGTTTTTACAATTTTAGCAGACAACCTTTACGCCTCATTGAATTCAAAATATTTTATAAACAACATATTTTTTCAAGATTTATGACTTATCTACGAAAAGTATTTAGTTAAATCTACGAAGGAATAAAATCTTACGTATAAATACATAAATATTCGTTTGGTTGTTTGTGTGGTTTTAGTTAAACTAGTGAAGCTATTTCGGCGAGTAATAGAACTGAAAAACCATTAATATTAGTAATAGAACTGAATAACCAAGATAATGAAAGACCATTGTCTTTTCATGTTAAATATGGTGCACTTGGTGCTATCCCGGTCTTTATAATTTAAATAAATTTAAATTATAATTAGTTAGACATTTAGAATATACTTACTTGTGTCAGTTTTGAGTTATCATGCTCTCTCAGGAGTCTCATTGGCGGTGGCACGATGGATCCCTCTATTCTCTATATTCCCTATAATATGGTTGAGTTGAAGTTGCGGTGCTGGTAATGTTATGGTGCATGTACTTATGGAAAAGCAATAAAGATATTGAGTATTGAGTATTGAGTATACGTGTCATGTTCGTGAACGGACGCTGCCTATTGAGACTGGTCAACTCGAGACTGTCTAAAATTGCTGTACTTGAGGTTAATTTCTTTTTCGGATTCTTTGACTAAACATTAGTGTTACACTGTTCTCGCAATAGAACTAACAAAATTATGTAAAAAAGAAATGCATTGTGAAACTGATTGAAAAAGAGTAACCATGGAGTTTCTTGCTTGTTTTTCTTTATAGGAATCTACACTTTGGAACGAGCAAATAGCTTCACTACCTTTTCCAGTCTCTCCGTGTGTCCTGACACGCATACAGTTATCCTTGATATATTTTTTGTTTTTTCTTTAAAAAGTGCCTTTTATGGTCTACTTAAAATAAATGATTTGAGTTGATTGGTAAGGTCGTAGTAATAAGTTAAATAATACTTTTATTTATTCAACGCTTATTGTATTACTTAATGACTTAATGGTATTCTCTGTTAGTCAGTAACAATGGTGCAGAGAAATATATTAATAGGTTCTAAACAAACGTCACACAATTTTTAATAAATATAAATACTAGATGGGAATATAATATATACATATAAATATATACATAGAAACAATACACACACACAATATTATGCGTAGGTATCCTATCTAAGCATTTCAATAATTTGTCTGTTTAAAATTTTTGTAATGATATTAAAATCTAAAATTCGCGGGTTACTCACGTGCAAATGTTGAGAAAATGGCTGCGCGACGTCGCCGCGTCCGCGCACGCTGCTCATGAGGAAGAACCCCTCTGTGGTTCGAAACTAGTAGAGCTTTTCTCAACATTTGCACGTGAGTAACCCGCGAATTTTAGTTAATTTAGTATGTCTCACGATAGTTATTATAAAAACATATTAAAATCTGTACAAAAACGAGAGAAGTCATGAGCGAAAATAGGTTGGCAAATGAATATTAATCGTTAACTCTCTCAACATATGATGTCGTTATGAAAATCTATTTTTTTGATTTGGAAGAATTGGTTTGTGACAACTTTGAGTAACAAGCGGTCAACGACATCGCTTGATATATTCAAAATCAGGATAATAAAGAAAACGTCGAGTATTCATTACTATTTTATTAAAAGGTGATAGAAGGGGGATGAGCCTAAACTACATACAGAAAACTTCTACAAGCTACAAGCTTAGTATGCAGGCCAAAAATTCTGTTCCTTAATTACAGAAGGTTCAAATTTTACTCGCAGGAAGAGAAATGTTGGTGTCAAGTGTCCACCTTATCTGACAACAGAATCTAAAACGCTTAAGCAAAGTTTCTTTCTTATTTGAATAAACACTACTTATTTACGAAACACTCCTTGAAGCACATAATAAAATATGTATAAATCAACTTCACATACCAACTTGCCAGTACTCGTCGAAATCCCTAGAAAATCCTGCATTCTTTTGGTCCAGCTTTCAGCTCAATTTAGCGGTTCATTTTAAAGAATAATTTATTCTCCTCACGAGCGCAGCTGAGTGCATGCAACACTTCTCTGTTTGTTATTAAATAATGTGTTGCACATTAATAATGGCGGAACTGGAAGGGAGTATGCTAGCTGCATTCTTAATCTACAAAATTTGTTACTGAAATGGAATGTATTATATTCTTATGTTTGGTCGCAGCTAAGTACTTTATAACTAGATCATCAGCCTATAAGTGTCCACTACTGAGCAAAGGCTTCTTCTCAGACGGAGAAGGTTAGAGCTTAATCACCACGCTTGCTGAAATTATAGCTTCAGGTTTCCTCACAATGTTTTCCGTCACAGTATGTCAGTGGTGTCTAAATAATCATAAAAAGTAAATAATCATAACATACCTATAACCCGAACAAAGTCACATTGGTACTTTTCAGGTTTCGGACCTGCAGCCTCATGCATGAGAATCTGACGCATTAACATCCGAGCCACCACAACACTTTAAAACTAGTCTGGATCAATTTAGTCTCCTGTCTTGCTTACCGGATAAAGATAAAGATGTGTCCGCTTCTCGTCATAAACTTAAAATGTTTCTTTCTTCGAAAGGATCAACTGATGGTAGATGGTAGCAGTCAGACCGCCCATAGAGACTTGCAAACACCAAAAGAATGATTTAGTTCGTTAACGATATTTTGTGTGTTCTTAAGGATGTAAGATGAGTAGATTTGGATTTCATACGCTATTAGTTTGTTTTGGTTTTTTAAACGATTAAAGTGAACTAAATGTGCTATTATTATTATCCTGTTTCTGTTTAATTCGTAACGTACTAACGCCTGTAATTAAGGCTATACTATATTGTTTTTGAAAACTCATTTGTTATAATAATATCTAAAGGAGTTTCATTATTTTTTATGTGGTCGGCAAACGAGCGTCACGGATTACCTGATGGTAAGCAATCAACGCCGCCCATGGACATCCGCACCAACAAAGGAGTAACTAATAATCCCCAGAAGGTCGGCAACGCACTTGGCGTTGCCGACCTTCTGGGGATTAGAGATTTGTAGATATAGGGATTGGGGGAGGGGAAGGATTGGGCCTCCGGTAACCTCACTCATACGGTGAAACACAACGCTGTGGTTGTTTCACGCCGGTTTTCTGTGAGGCCGTGTTATCCCACCCATTCGTGCCGAAGCATGGCTCTCCCACACTATAAAATTATTTCCTTTAAGGTATCAAAAGGGTAAATACTGTATGTAAAAATAGTAACACTGTTTTCATAACTCATACTCGATTGGAATCCTGAAAGCGCTGAACACTGATTATTATCGAAATGACGTTTAGATCGCGTGCGTCTGGTGTTGTTTTAAAAGCTGCACAATGTTGTTATGTAAAAATAAATAAAATACAAGTATGTGTTGAATAAATTGAATGTTCATTATACATAGCTTGAATGTTTTATGTATTAAAACATAGTTCGTTTAGAGATGTGAATCTGTGTTATACGTAATCTATTTAGACGTAATTATATATACGTTACTTATATAATACGGTAGTTTCCAACTAGTCAAATTCAATACTTTTATCCAAACGTCAAAAATGATACTTTTCTATGAAATTTGTATGAGAAACTGAGCTATGACGTCATAACATTTTTGCGTCAAATAGGTTACTTATTTCACAATAATTAGCTAAAAAAATCTAAAACTTGGTGTATCGATCGATCGATGAATAAAAGTATAGTTATTTTTCAATATTTTATAGTAGGTATTGAAACATCGAATTAATTTATTTTTGACCTAGGAAACTACCCAATTGATATTTTATATACTGATGATAGGTATGAAAAATAGGATTGTCTTTTATACAATTTAAAGAAAAAATATTTTTAAATAACAATTACACCAGCAAACATTTGCTGAGCCGTCTTAAAAAAGTCGAATTTTATTACTGTGGACATCATACTCAAGGTTTTTTTTTCTTTGAAATGTGCCAAACACACACGAACATACTACACAACACATTATCGTCATCACTATGTGATAGTCTAATTGTGAACTACATATTAGACTCTATATTATGATCCCCACACTTGATTATAAGGTAGATTGGAGTCCACAGTTTAAAAACACAAAACATTTCGATCTTTGTCAAATGCTTCAAACCTCCTTATGTTATTAACGTGAAAGTTTTCAAATATAGATGCATGACTTTCATGAAAAACTAATAAATGAAAGCGAATTTAATTGGGCATTATGATAAATTATACTTTAGAGATATAGATGATGTTACATAGGTCTTTTTATTCTTATACTGAGGCAAAGCTGCTGACAGTAAGAAGTTAACAATATACAGATTGAAACCATCGAAATATTCAAAATAAAACAGCCAATCAAACTTGAAAGTAAGCAAGTCATGCCTGACTTAGTGTCAGTAACTCAGAACTTAGTGTGTGTTTAAGTCTAGACTTTCATATTGTAGTCTAACAGGGTACCCTAGGGGTTAATAAACACTACAGTGTACAAGACAGGAGGCTTATTAGCGCTCAAATATTAATAAACACTCCAAAGTACAGGACCGGATTGAGAATGAAGTTTAGGAAATTTTATTTGAGAATTGTTAAATTAATGAAGGCAGTAATTTTGCTATAAACTTTGGAGCCAAGCTATTATGTTTTAAGACTATTCTTTACTATATCTACTGAGGTGTCCGTGCTTGATAAAAAAATATTGGATTTCAAATTTTGAAAATTAAGTCCAATTTATTAAGACAAAAACATTAATTGAGGGAAGAATATTAAAAAAATAATATACTTGTATAAACTCTTTTATTTTAGGACATAACATCATGACACAAAAGTTAACATTCGAAAAAAAAAACTTCTTATGTGTGTCATTGAAATCCCGAGCGTCGGGCAAGTAGCGACCCGTGCGCGCTCCAAAGAGCTAAAAAAATACCACAGATGTGGCCCTACAAGTCCGATGTTCAGCCCCGGCTGCCGCTTGCCCTGCTACCCCGGTAGCAGGGCAAGCGTAATATCGGCCTTGAGCAGAATAAGAAACGGGAGGCTTTTTAGTCAGTAAGAATCTGACACTCCCTATCGCCTCACCTTAAGCGAGAAAAGTCATTTCATGATTTTCCCCTCACAAAAAAAAAGGATATTGGAATAAAATATTTGATCATATCTAAATCCGTCTCACTTTTAGTCCCACAATTAGTTCACATCTGAATAAGATTCTCGAGTCAATATTTGTATAACGTTAAGCGATACTTACACAAGTTTGGAAAATTATTGACTTTGTGCAAACTCCTTTTAGTTGATGTCAATATACGACAGTCATTTAGTTGCAGAGTGCACAAGTCTTTGAGTAACTTTAGCTATAAACTTAAACTGTTAATTTCATGGAAGTCTGCAGACTACTATTTGTATTATCTAAGATTATTTATAGTTAAGTTTCTATGTACACTTTTCTCAGAAATACAATTCGCAAAAAAATACTCAATGTAAATTGATTTCGAATTGAAAATAAATCTTTATTAGTCATCCACTTTATACAACTGCATAAAATCATCTATAAAAATACTCATGCCAATAAAACACATCGAATATTACGCAACACTCGTAATAAAATAAAGCAACAATATTTTTTAAACTTAGGTAAACTAGACTTTAGCACAAATAAAATTTAATTACACGTCCGTCTTACACCGCTGTCAATTTGTATCTGACCAAATCTGTTCCATTTTTGATTGTGTAAAAAAGTAACAAGGCATTATGGTTCGCATATCGTTGTTATGTGCCTGTATAACAGTGCAAATAGTATTAGCTTATACGCAATCTGGAGATGTATATTACCTTGATAATAAAATGGTAATTGGTAATTTAAAAAGAAGGGAAGTGATACCACTGAACCCATATTCTAGAAATAACGGGAGAAGGAGATATGGGAATGATGCTCAAGGAAATCTAAACTACAGAAGGACTAAAGACATTCGTGAAGACTTTGTTGACCGAAGATTTGAGGTAAATAATGACATGTTTTTGTTGATACCTATTGATGGGACAAAGAAATAATTTAATATAGTTTTCAACTATGAAAAAATAAACCTAATAACTTGCATTTCATTATCAGATGCCTAAGAGCGTGGTGACTAATATGTATTGGATTGGATAGACTGTATGATAGATCGTTTGCTTGGTATTAAAATTATTTCGTATAAAAAGTAACAAAAAAATTGTACACAAGGTCAACAAATAAAATCAACAAATAAAAGAAAAATATTAATCTAAGAAAGGAAAGAACTAGTCCTTCTACCTCGAAAGGATATAAAATAAATTGTTACTTACTTATGTAAATACATTTTCAAAAGAACCAAATAAAC